GCACAGAGCGAGCAAGTAACGATCCTCGCGGGGTTCCCAAGACTCGATCACGTCACTTGGGCCGCCTGAGTTGCCAGAGCTGTTTCGTACGTTGACATCTGCGACGTTCATTGCAATCGCACGCCGCTGGTCTTTTTCCGCTAGAGACTGAAGGAACCTCCTGCTTCGTGAGCTTCTGACCACCGTAGACTCTTCAGTAGGGGGGGGCGAACGGGGAGTAAGGCTCAACTGTGGCTGAAGAGACCACTGCCGTAACCTGTTGATTGCGGATTCCAGTAGGGATGAAGATTCCTGGACAGACGAGGGTTCGTGGACGGACGAATCACTGACGCCATCGTGGACGCCTCGAAGGCGCGACGACGAATAAGCTGTCGCAAGCAGATTAGGCGAAAAGCAGGCGAGAAGGGCGAAGGGGAGAAGCGAGAGGCCTCGTCGAGCCAATAACTTATGGAGTGCTTGTGAGGCGATTCGCGACGCTCTATGTCGAGGATGGAAACGACTCATTTTGGGCAGTCGCTAAGCCGCTATCCAATGGCGCACGCTTCTGGCCCGTCAAAGTCACTCGTGAGTCGACGGGTACTAATTACAAAGCAAACAAAGTCCGCGATGTCAAGATAGCGACGTCTCTAGTTTATGGACGTCAGACGTCTGCAGGCTAGATGAAGAAACAAGAGAGCACTAATGTGAGAGAATCAGGGATGTCACGACCATAATATGATCAGAACAGGTCACGCGCGTTCACAGGTCGAAGACATCTACGAGTGCCAGTGAGACGAGCACGAAACCAGAATCTCCCGAGAACCAACACGAAAAAAGTGTGGAAATTTGGGAATCTGTGGCCCCTCAGGATTAGTTGCCAGCGGGCCTTGGGAATGGTTTCAGGAAATAGCTGGCGCTTTACGAATCGAACGATGACCCGTGAAGCTCAGTTTCGAGCACCCTGTTTGTCAGGTGTGGTTCGCCTGGAGTGTGGCCGCAACTGGTGCGACTCGGGGGAAGTTGTTGTAAGGAATTAATAATAATTCCTTACTGAGGCTTGCTACAAAGCGTACGACTCGAACGGTCCCGAACCAGCGATAGGCTTCCAGACCTTTCAGTTCGAGCCTCCTGGGTCTTTCCGGACCTCGCTTCGACACATCGAAGCCCTTCGACACCTTTCCCGAACCTTCCGATCCTACGTCCAGGATCACCCTAGGCTTCCTATATATTGTGTTGTCTTTCATCTTAAGGTCATTCACTCGCTCACAGTTTCGCCATTGCCCTCCGCGCTACTCGGCGTTTGTTATGAATGGGACTGCCGAGTAGCGCGGAGGGCAATGGCGAAACTGTGAAAGAGTGAATGACAATAAGATGAAAGACAACACAATATATAGGAAGCCTAAGTTGATCCTGTACGTAGGATCGGAAGGTTCGGGAAAGGTATCGAAGGGTCTCGATGTGTCGTAACGAGGTCCGGAAAGGCCCAGGAGGCTCGAACTGATAGGTCTGGAACCCTGGCGATGGTTCGGGACTGTTCGAGTTGTACGCCCTGTAGCAAGCCTCGGTAAGGAATTACTCATTCCTTACACTCTCCCCCCTTCTAGATAAGCACACAAATAAGCAAAAGTACACACACTCTAACTGAATCTCGTAGTAGTGAAACCACCACTGATGAGAATCTCGAGCTTCTTCAAGAAACTCCATCCAACGGTCGAAACGTGTCGAAACGTGTCGAAACGATCGCCGTCGATCGTAGCCGTCGAATTATGGTTGAGTTACTCAGATAACCAAACGGGCAGTAGGGATTCTACCGCACCACAGCTTCGTTGTCTCCAGCGAATCTTTCGCCGACAATTACAACTCCAATCGTCGTGTACTGTATCCGCACAGTAACACCACGTTATTCATACTGCTGCAAGTTGGCGAGCCGAATCTTCTGCATAGCGCCAAACTTGTCCGTAGCTCCGTAACTGTAGATCGCTCCTCGTTTAATTCCACGTGAGTCGTGACACTCGCAGAAACACGCGTCCGTATTTCGCAAAATCACGAACTCCATCCATTCGTCAAGTGTGAGGTCATTCGCGACACATGCGAGAACACGCGTCCGTGTCTCACGAAAGTCAGCGAATTCCATCAGCTCAAGGACGAAAGCTCAATCACTCCAGTAACCGTAGTCGATGTCCCTTCAGGCGGTTAAACTAAACACGCCTTCACCTTTCGCAAACTCCTGCGAAATTCCCGAAAAGCCAACTCGAATCTGTCCGTCGATTCAGTCGGTCAAACAGCATCTGTCCGTCGATGCTCCTGCAGCGGATGTCAAACTTGTCGAGGGAAACTCCAAATAACAACTGATGCACAGCTGCTCTCTCCCCCCTCCATGAAAAGAAAATCTCTGTCGTCGATGCCGAAAATTCCCTGCTTCAAGTTTCTTCAGACCCCGAAAACTTGAAGTATCTTCAAATTCTGCTCGTCGGGACCAGTCTCAGCGCGACCCTATAACGCAGGGCAGCTGCGCCACGTAGACTCTAGCTCCATCCGACGCCGTAGATCGATATTCTGCTCCGCAGAATGCCGTCGATCTGCTTCGTGTTGTTAACCTCTGTAAAAATTGTCTCAATTCCACCTGACCGGTTCGCCGTGCAGATGTTCACCCATCGCGCGGCTACGGCAGGTGCCCCAGAAAAACTTGGGTACAGTTCTCAGCTCCGAAAAACGCATTTTCTGCAGTTTCACGAACTAACCATGCTGGTATTTAAACCATCGCACAGCTCGGCAGGTACCCGTGACCCCAGCTACCGCTCCAGCCGAAAACTTGAAGAATTTCCACTCGGAAAATACCCGACGTTTAGCGGCGCGCCGACGTTCACCCATCCTTGCGCCCGTCCTGGTAAATCCCCGAATGAGTCCTCGCAGCCGAGTCTTTGATTATAGCCCCCCAACTCAGGGATAATCCGTGAAGACTCCCGCGTGACTCCAAATTTTCCGTGACGGCAACACGCTTTTCCCACTGCAACAGTAACCCATGTCGTCCTGAAGCTCCATATTCTTAATACACTCCAGAGCAAGGGTGAATCCGAAGTGTGCCCGTACTCAGGTAAGCGCAAACGCTATCGTAGTTGGGCGAATTAATCAGTCTAATTCGCGGGCAACCGCTTTGCAGCTTACGTGAGGGATACTCCTTCCCCTCCCTGAAAAAAACCCGTTCCTGCAACAATCTGCTCCAACTGCTTCAAAATTTCTTCAACTGCTGCTTCACAATAAAATACCCCCGCAGGCCGCTGTTCACCCAGTGCCCACGTTCGTCATTCTCCAAAAGAGTACCGCGCACGTTCTTTCGAAAAACTCGCAGCTCCGTAGATTGCAGCGACGCATCCTCGCCGTTCGTATCGGACTCGAGCTCCGCGTACCGTCCGATTGCCGTCGCAAAATTCCTTCGCTTTTTTCGTCAACCTGCTTCACGCGCCTCCCACTGTACAGCGTCCGATTTTCACAAATCATGCACCTGTCGTGTAGCGCCGAAAATATTTTTCCCTGATCCACCAGCACAGGGTGATCCACAAGGTTATCATCCTTTATTCGTCCGGGAGCGGTCGATAGCATGTATCGTACTACCACCCGGTGGAGATGTTAAAGATCGGGCGACCCAGCCTAGTCAGTCGGGGGATCCGTTTGCCGCTGACGCCTTAAAATTTCCCGGCTGTTCCCAGTCGTTCTCCTTCTTTGCTTCAGCTCTTCGTCGTTGACTTTTAGCGGTAACCCGGCGATGACACTTAAACTCGACCCGAAGGTAGTTGCTGGTCGTCCTCCGTAGATCGTGGGTATAATTTCTGACCACGAAAATGGCTTCCTCTACAGGAATCCAGACTCGCCGAGCTCGAAACTCAGGGCAGACGAATTACACCTCCAGGCGGGCAGGTCACGCGAAACAATTTCGAGGTCAGTACTCCCCGAAACTTTTCCGTGCCTGAGCCCCAAGTGTGCTGTTGTGCGATCCTTGGTCGTGCCGAAAACTCCAACGCCGCGTTTGCTGAACAGTATCCGAAGTCCCGTCTTCACCTGCGTGTCGCCTGCCGGAAACGCCGAGCCCTCGACATCAGCTACACTTCACCATGCAGCCACGTCTGCTACACGCGCTCCTGACGAACTCCTCTTCGCCTGGGGATATCCGCGAGCTTGTCGTCTCGTAACGAGCTCCTCGCTCCATTCAGACACCAATCCGAATCGTCGTTGCTGCTTGCCGAAATTGCCGAAACTACAACCGAAGCCTCTTTTAACGATATGCGAAATAAACAACATACCGAAAACACTCTTCAAAATCTTTGCCATGTCAGGACGGACACAACCGCCCTCGAGGGGATGGCTCTCCCCCCCCCCAAAAAAAAGAATCGTTATGCCATCGGAAGCCCAGTGGGTGAGGAAAGTGGCTCTGAATACCAAGTGTTATGAATGGGACTGCCGAGTAGCGCGGAGGGCAATGGCGAAACTGTGAACGAGTGAATGACAATAAAATGAAAGAACACACAATGTATAGAAAGCCTAGGGTGATCCTGGACGTAGGATCGGAAGGTTCGGGAAAGGTATCGAAGGGCCTCGATGTGTCGTAATGAGGTCCGGAAAGGCACAGGAGGCTCGAACTAATAGGTCTGGAACCCTGGCGATGGTTCGGGACTGTTCCAGTCGTACGCCCTGTCGCAAGCCTCAGTAAGGAATTACTCATTCCTTACAGCGTTTCCATTCATAACAGTTGTGGTCTGCTGTAACAAGGTTGTAAAACGCGCAAAAATGACTCATACGCAAGCCCTTCGCAAAAATATTTCTTGTATATCTCCCAAGTGGATATGCACATCAGCCCTTGTGCACGTCATTACTTAGGGCGCCATACAGCGGCAATGAAAAAGCAGTTCTACTACCGTAACATTCTGGACACACAATACATACAAGGTATCATGTTTTCACACCCACTGTACGATGTCGACATCCAACAAACAGAAACAGGCTTCTGTCTGGAGCCACTGCAAGTGGTTCCCTTGTTCACAAGAAAGATGAAGCAACCTTTGGTTTGGTGTCAGGCAATACCTCAGCATCACCTTAGACCAGAATCAACCAATTCACCACCCGTCCAACCCCAACGCAAGCTTTCCAAACATTACAACCTGCAATGCACCCCCCACCTTCACCTCCCTCCCCCTCCCCCCCCACCCCCCACCCTCACCTCCCTCCCCCTCCCCCCCCTCCCCCACAACCCACCCAGCCCACACACACGTCGAACCCTCCTAACGAGGTCCGGAGAGGTTGAACGCATCCAGCGAGATACCCGTGGTGGAATTCTCCCAAATCGCAGGCGTGTTGACCACAGCCATGACATCCTCCCCAGACATCTTCGCTGCCTCCTCCTGCCAATTCTCCCACTTGTCAGCCAGGGCCTTCCCGGAGAGCATCTTTGCCACCTCATCCATGGTCGGGCGGTCCACTGCGTCATGCTTCATGCAGAGTAGTGCCACCTGGAGCACCTTTGCCACGTCAGCCTCGTCGTAGCCCGGCTTGGTGAGGTCGTTGTCCACGAATTCATGAATCTTGCCGTCACGCAGCATGTTGGCGATCTGATGGGGGGGAATAAGATTAACGGGAAGGATGCAGAAATATATGAAGAGGATGCATGAGTAACATTGATAAACAGAGGAAGGGAGCATGCACATAACAAGAATTCAGGGGTCATGCCCGTTGCGCAGCATGCTGCAATCTGGAGTGGGGGTGGATAAACACATGGCGCAAGTCAGACGATCCCATACTCTGTTGAAAATCGGCGACTAAACCACCAAGCGAAAACTCACCCAGTCACGCAGCAACAGCTCCTCGGCTTCGGGCGGCAGAGTGAGCTCAAACACGTCCTTGCCCGAAACGAGCTCTAGCAGGAAGACCCCAAAGGCATACACGTCCGTCTTCTCAGAGCACTGCCCCGACACAAAGTACTCTGGGTATCGAGAAGGGGGAGAGGCCGGGGGGGTGTACAGAGGGCGAAGGGGGTTTTAAAACACTGTTGCTCAAAATGTTCTCTGGAGGAGAGGGTGGGTGGGTGGGTGGGTGTATGAGCACGATAGAAAGCAGAGCGCCCAACGGTCTCCTAAACAGCAGTAGAAGCATGGTTCTCATGCATGCCCAGCTCCTTGGTCAGTCAAAAGTCAGCAATAACCGCCATCCCTCTCACCCTCCATACTAGCCGTCTCACTACAAAGCGCAACACGTACTTGGCGCAATGTGTCCAATGGTTCCCTTGACAACCCTGGACGCGTGGCTCTCATGCACGTCCATCTCCTTGGCCTGACCAAAGTCAGCAATAACGGCCTCGTCGTTCTCGTCCCGGAGCACGTTGGCCGCCTGGATGTCGCGATGAATGAGCTTGCGGTTGCAGTCCATGTGCATCTTAATGTCTCCGCCTCCTCCCTCCTCCCTCCTCTTCCTCCTCCTCCTGCTTGAAGCGCACGAAGATAAAAAGAGCCACCAGCATTGCCACCAGCAGCACCACTAGCACCGTCTTCGCTAGCCACACTGCACACCCCCTACCACACTCACCCCCAACCCACAGCCCTAGCCAATAGCAGACAATTCCATCCCACTCTCTCAATGTCTTGAGCGAGCCTCTCTGCCTCCTCCCAAATCCCTCGCTCCTCCTGCTTGAAGCACGCGACGATAAAGAGCGCCAGCACAAGCGCCACCAGCGCCTATGCTAGCCACACTGCACCCACTACCACACTCAATCCTACTGCCCTGACCCACCCCCACACTCACTCTCAATGTCTTGAGCCAATCGTTCCGTCTCCTCCCTCTTCCTCCGCTCCTCCTGCTTGAAGCGCACGAAAATAAAGAGCGCCACCAGCACCTATGCCACTCCAAGTTGCCAGTACCAGTGGCAAACAACTCCACCATGCTCACTCTCAATGTCTTGAGCAGTTCTTCCCGTCCTCTACTGACCCTTCGCTCTTCGTTCGTGCTGGCCAGACTCTGTTCTGCATCATTGTCTACGTAGACGACCTGGTCTTTGCTACTGCAGACATAGACGTGCTGGCCTCCATGAAGGCTGAGCTGCTGAGGAGATACACCTCCACTGACCTGGGAGAGCTGCGCCGCTACCTTGGCCTGCAGATCTCCAGGGACAGAGCAGCGTGCACCATCACTCTTACACAGTCACACTTGGTGCGCCAAGTTCTTCAGAGGTTCGATCTTCAGTTCTCCTCCGCACAGGCCACACCTCTGCCGATAGACCACAGGCTCTCAGCTCCAGTTCCTGAGGAGTCAGCAGAGCCCAGTGGTCCTTACGCAGAGCTGGTGGGTTGCCTCATGTACCTGATGACTTGCACTCGTCCAGATCTCGCATACCCTCTCAGCATCCTGGCCCGCTTTGTGGCCACAGGCAGACACCGACCACAGCACTGGTCGGCCGCTAAGAGGGTTTTGCGTTATCTTGCAAGTACATCGGGCATGGGGCTAGTGCAGGGAGGACTCAGGCCAGTGGTCCTCACTGGGCACACAGACGCTTCTTGGGCAGACGACGCTGAGACACTCCGGTCCTCCCAGGGCTCCTGCTTCAGCCTTGGTTCTGGTGCCATCTCGTGGAGGTCCACTCGCTCCTCGTCTGTTGCTCAGTCTCGCTGCGAGGCTGAGATCTACGCCGGTGCCATGGCGGCACAGGAGCTCCGCAGGCTGACCTTCTTGCTTGCCGTCTTAGGTGAGCGGCCTAGCTCTGCCCCTGTTCTGTACGCTGACAACAGGGCCATGATCCTCCTATGTCAGGAGCCTCGACTTGAGGGCAGAGCGAAGCACATCCAGCTGCGGTACTTCCTCCTGCGCGAGCTTCAGCAGCGTCGCCAGGCCCGCGTAGTACACTTGGCCTCTGGTGCCAACACAACTGATATCTTTATTAAGGCGCTTCCGCCTAGAGATCATCAGCGGCATTGCTTGCAGTTAGGTCTAGTCCCTGTTGACTCTCACTTGCTAGGCCCTTGATTGTGTACTCCTTTATATTTATGCCTTCTAGACTGGCCTTGTGGCTTTTCTTCCTGTGGTTGGACTAGTAGTGCCGCCCTGGTTTGCTCTGTCTTGCTTGTACTCTTGCTGACTGGTCTTCGGGCTCCTGCCTTAGAGGTTGGACTAGTAGTGCCACCCGGAGCTGCGTGTTTCTTGTTCAGCACTACCCCTTATCTAGCCTAGGGCCCCATGATTGGTTTTAGTGTACCCTGATTGCCTAGTGTCACATTGAAAAAACAAACTTCTCGTCAGGGTCGTCGCCGATTTCAAGGCTGATTTTTCAGTGTCGTTACAAGAAATCACGCAGATCAATCAGTGTCAACTACAAAATTTAGGCTGATTGCTTTCCGCCTGCTGCACAACGGAAACTGGACATAAGTGCGCAAATGTTTTGAATATGCGAGCCAGCATCTCGCCACATCACTGTGAAGGGCATAATTATCACGCAGGCCTCGCTTTTCATTTTGGACCTCCCCTCTTTTGGGTTTAGGGAGGTGGGGTGGGAGTGGGAGCAAGGTCCTCGCTAGGTTTTGAATGTCAGAATTTTCAGGGACTTATGGCGATGTTTTCAAGTTGCTGGAGGCGTGGGAGGGATGTTTTGAGACCAGGTTTCTCTACTGCGCCTGACCATCCAGATGGAAAATCTCCAACAGTCAGAACTTCCAGACAAAATCGACCACCGAGTTGGGGTGTATATACGGACGCTTAGGGCATAATTAAATGGGCAGGGGAGAAAGGAATCGGGGGCTTACAAATGTCGTCCGAAACATTAGGGTTTACCCAACCACACTTCGTCATTGCGACGAGATTTGTCGCACGCACGGTACGTGGGCGAAAACCAACCTCAATGGCAGGGCTCCTCCCTAGCCAGCTTGTACCGTACAAAAAAAAAGAGGGTGACGTGACATGCCCTAGGCCTCGCTGGGCAGGAGGTACGAACCAGGGCTTTACATTGGTTTTTTAGCCAATCGTAAGATCCGGCCTCCCTACGTGAAGCACCCGTTACAGTCTGTTTTCATGCGATATCATACCCGTCAGCGTCCATTTTCATGCCAAAATCCGCCAAAAGTTAGCCGCCTGTTATGAATGGGATTGCCGAGTAGCGCGGAGGGCAATGGCGAAACTGTGAACAAGTGAATGACAATAAAATGAAAGACAACACAATATATAGAAAGCCTAGGGTGATCCTGGACGTAGGATCGGAATTTTCGGGAAAAGTGTCGAAGGGCCTCGATGTGTCCAAGCGAGGTCCTGAAAGGCCCAGGAGGCTCGAACTGAAAGGTCTGGAACCCTATCGCTGGTTCGGGACTGTTCGAGTCGTACGCCCTGTAGCAAGCCTCAGTAAGGAATTACTAATTCATTACACTCTCCCCCCTTCTAGATAAGCACACAAATAAACAAAACTACACACACTCTAACTGAATCTCGTAGTAGTGAAGCCACCACTGTTGAGAATCTCGAGCTTCTTCTAGAAACTCCATCCAACGATCGAAACACGTCGAAACGATCGCAATCGATCGTAGCCGTCAAATCTTGGTCGTATTACCCAGATAACCAAACGGGCAGTAGGGATACTACCGCACCACAGCTTCCTTGTCTCCAGCGAGTCCTTCGCCAAGAATTACAACTCCCGTCGTCGTGTACTGTATCCGCACAGTAACACTACGTTATTCACACTATTGCAAGTTGGCGAGCCGAATCTTCTGCATAGCGCCAAACTTGTCTGTAGTTCCGTAACTGTAGATCGCTCCTTGTTTAATTCCACGTGAGTCGTGACAATCGCATAAATCAAACGTCTGCATTTCGCAAAGTCAACAAACTCCTGCTTTTCGTCAAATGCGAGGTCGTTCGCGACACATGCGAGATCACGCGTCCGTGTCTCACGAAAGTTAGCAAAGCCCATCAACACATGGACGAAAGCACAATCAGTCCAGTAACCATAGTCGATGTCACCTCAGGCGGTTAATGCAAACATGCCTTCAAATTTCGCAAACACCTGCGAAATTCGTGTAAGGCCAACTTGAATCTGTCAGCCGATTAAGTCGATCAAACAGCATCTGTCAGTCGATGCTCATGCAGCGGAATGCCAAACTGTCGAGGGAAAATCCAAAAAACAACTACTGCGCAGCTGCTCTCTCCCCCCTCCATAAAAGGAAAATCTTCTGTCGTCGACGCCGAAAACACCCTGCTTCAAGTTTCTTCAGACCCGAAAACTTGACGTATCCTCAAACTCTGTTCGTCGAGACCAGTCTCAGCGCGACCCTATAACGCATGGCAGCTGCACCACATAGACTCTGGCTCTGTCCAACGCCGTAGATAAATATTATGCTCCACAGAATGCCATTGATCTGCTTCGTGTTGTTACCCTCCGTAGAAAATTTCGCGACTCCACCTGACCGGTTCGCCGTGCAGACGTTCACCCATCGCGCGGCTACGGCAGGTACACCAGAAAAACTCGGGTACAGTTCTCAGCTACGAAAAACGCATTTTCTGCAGTTTCACCGACTAACCATGCTGGTATTTAAACCATCGTACAGCTCGGTAGGTACCCGTGACCCCAACTACCGCTCCAGCCAAAAACTTGAAGAATTCCCACCCGAAAAATACCCGACGTTTAGCAATGCGCCGACGTTCACCCATCATTGCGCCCGTCCAAGTGAATGAGTCCTCGCAGCCAAGTCTTCAATTATAGCCACGCAACTCAGGAATACTCCTTGAAGACTCCCGCGTGACTCCAATTTTTCCGTGACAGCAACACGCATTTCCCATTGCAACAGTAATCCTTGTCTTCCCGAAGCTCCATTTGATGAATACACTCTAGAGCAGGGGTGAATCCGCTATGTGTCCGTACTCAGGTAAGCGCAAACGTTATCGTAGTTGGGCGAATTAATCAGTCTAATTTGCGGGCAACCGCTTTGCAGCAGACGTGAGGGATTCTCTTCCTATCCACGGTCCTGTGTTTTCTCCGCCGGACTCGTCCCCGGCTCGTTTCCCACCTCGTTCCCCTCCTGTTACTCCTCCTCTGTCTCCTGACCCGACGCCTAGCTGGCCCCCTGGCCGCTCGCGCCTGCTCCTAGCAGGCCCCCTGGCCGTCGTGCCCGCTCTTAGCCGGCCCCCTGGCCGTTCGCGCCCGCCCCTAGCCGGCCCCCTGGCCGTTCGTGCCCGCCCCTAGCTAGCCCCCTGGCCGTCGCGCCCCTCCTAGCCGGCGCCCTGGCCGTTCGCGCCCGCCCCTAGCCGGCCCCCCTGGCCGTTCGCGCCCGCCCCTAGCCGGCCCCCCTCTGGCCGTTCGCGCCCGCCCCTAGCCAGCCCCCTGGCCATTCGCGCCCGCCCCTAGCCGGCCCCCCCCTGGCCGTCGCGCCCGCTCCTAGCCTGCCCTCCGCGCCCCTGTCGCGCCCGCTCCTCACCGGTCCCTCGCGCCCGTCCCTTGTCGGCCCCGCCCCCTCTTCTAGCCGGCCCCGGGTTTGCTACGTCGCCGGCCCGTCTCTGACTCGTGCCCGGTCCGTCCTTCTCCGATCTGCACTGCCCTGCACTGCCCGAAGCCGCTCTCCACCGCTTTGCACCGCACTCCACCGCCCAGCACCGCACTGCACCGCACTACACCACACTGCACCGCCCTGCACCGCACTGCACCGCAATGCACCGCCCTGCACCGCACTGCACCGCTCAGTACCGCACCGCACTGCACCGCGCTGCATCGTTCCTGATAACGCAAGACCCTCTTAGCGGCCGACCAGTGCTGTGGGCGGTGGGCTGT